GATATTACCATCATAAACATGTGTTTATTATTTAATTGATTTATGCACACAATATTTTAATTTAGCTGCATATATTTTCACAAAAAATCAAAAGATATATTTGTTGGTTTATTGTTATGTTTTAAGTATAATAAAAAAAAAACATAACACATTTTTGTTGATTTTATCTTTCAGGTAAGTAAGCGAAAATAAATTCTATTTTGCATTCCACAGTATTTTATTGCTGATATGTAGTATTGTGAGCTGTTGTGATATCTATAGACAATTTAACAGTTTTATTACCATCTACCAAATATATATACAGATATATATGTCACAAATACATGTTTGTCGTATGGGAGCATAGATTTTCAATCATTGTGGCATTTGAAATCAAAATCCATATTTTTTTAAGAGTACAATAGTATCATATTTCTTTCAAGGGTCGTGGTTGTCGCGGTACCATTATGCGACATTTGGTTGATAAACATTTTTTCGCAATCCAATGCGCTATCCTGGGCACGACATACACTAATTACTGCCTCCTTCGATACCTTCCAATCACCAATCAAATTACCTAATTAAAGTTTGGTAAAACCTCAATTTGTACTCGTTGGTCTGCGTAATAGTCAAAGTCGCTATCTTTGTTCATTTGAGGCCCACATCTCGCGGATGTGCAACGACCAACGCCCTTTAAATCTGACTACACAATCCCCAAACCATAAACAAGTAACCCAATGGTGATGGCACGCCTATTACAGAATATTTTATTTTAGTTACAAAGCATTCAATTAAAGCATTCATATATTTATTACCTGTGTGAACAAATATTTGAGTACTGAAAATATTGTCAGAAAAGTGATTGGGCCTATGAGCCTTGACGCCATATTAGTCAAACATATTTATAAATCTAAACTTTCCGGGAGTTTACACCCCAAGTACCATATAGGGCACACATGGTTAAGGCCAAACATTCCACACATTGTTTCTATTTACTCTTGGATGGAGAGAGGGCAGTAGGCGTAGAGTATCTTGTTCAGGCATATATCGCCATGGTACTTAATTAGGAATTTGCAGCATCAATGTTTCGAAACAACATTTTAGAAAAATTACGTAAAGGAAAATGAAAAGGTAGAAGCTGTTATAATGTAAGCTATAAAGACAGGCATCCAAATACCATGAAGTATAATACATGTATCAAGTTTGAACATAACCCATTCATACATTACTGAGATATACATGGAATCAGTTCAATAGACATATATATTTATCGTAAAATATATGGAATGTGTGATATTTGAATGTGATCAAGATATAACTGCTATTGTATGGTCATCGTCATCCCTCTTCCAGAACCACGGCATTGGGTTCTACGAGAGAAAGTAATTATGCAAAGTAGATAAAACAAGTCATCAGGTTAATAATTTAAGCAGAAAGAGTGAAATATTAATCTATTAATTATGATAATATAATTTACAATGTATCTTACTTAGGTAAATATCCATTCGTGTTGCGTCACTTTCTGTTCCAGTGTCTAATACGTCCCCACTAACAACAGTTACTGTAATAGTTTCCAGTCTTCCAGCTATACCATATCCACTACATGTGCCGCGGTACTTCATAGGTACAGCGACTATTTCTTCATAATCTCCAGTTCCACTATTTGAACATTCAACAGTATAGCCACTCACTTTCCCTTCTGGTTTACTCCATGTAACTGCTATTGTATCAGTTGTGATAAAATTATCATCTTTTTCCAAATTCACAGCATTGGGTTCTAAGAGTATTATTATACAAAATAAATAGAACAAGTTGATGGTTTAGATGTCATGGAGTAATGGATCATTAGAATTAGGCTCTGAAAATCAAATTCATCACAAGTAATAAAAAACACATGATCATCTGATACGTGTGGCATTTGACAACAAGCACACTTGGTAGGTGTGGACATGTGTTATCTAACTTACACAATGATTGTCACGAATTGGGCTGGGGTGTTCAACAAATCACTATCATTTTACAAATATACTAACATGTGCTAATATACAAACGAATTATATCGCCTTACTACTAGCCGTTCAAATGGTGGATGTTAAATCGGACATTGGTGTTTTTCCACAAGTCATGCCTGGTTAGTCGATTAAATCTGCTAATCATAGAGAATGTTTCGTAGTCTATGCATATTGTATTCTAAAGACAATACAATGAATGAACAAAGAGGCTGTTATTTGTGAGTGGAGAAACTGATGATAACAAAAGATATCTTCGAAGATCCAGTGGCCAATTCCAATCTCAAATAATTGGTCTGTCAATAAATGTCATCACACAGAATTCCGCCTTGACAACTTTCAGTACAAGTTCAAGCGATAAAAAAACTAATTTTTGCAACGTGTAATGTGTTAAAACACAGTCCCTCTATCCCCGGTCTAGAAACGGTCATTGTATTAGGTGTGAATTGGTCTCCTTCCCTGGCAAAGGCGCATTGCGGGTGTGGGCAAAGCATTGTCACGTGATCAGTACGTGATTTGACATCGTCAGTGTTATGTAATTTTTTACAACTTAGTTGTTTATTCCAGAATTCGTACTTTTTCACATAATTTTTTAATCAGGATATCTGTATAAGGTCATATTTCAGCCGGCGAGTAGTTCTTCAATTCATCTATTTTACCAGCAGAGGGTCTGTGGTTAAAACTTGAATCTTGTATACCATGGTATATAGATGAGCATCATGCCATAACAAAGGTATAAAGCATATAACCATGGCAATTATTTAGCGCTCTGTGGCCAATTAGAAACAGCTATGGTACAAAGTGCATGTTTCAAAGTTTCGTTAAACAAACAATGCTATACATGAATTGGACGAGTTGTATTGAAAAGTGAGTGAAAAAAACATTGTTGACATAAACTGACAAAGAGCAATGCTCCACAACGTGGGACATTAACATTCATTACATTAGCAACATATAAAGAGTTTGGTAATATACATTATTGCCACGAAGTGTTAACATTGTGCTCATATGTATCATACTATCTTGTTGATTGTTTAATTATCTTGTTTAACGATCCCATTATCATATTTATATTTCAGCTGCTTGTATCCTATTTTGAATGTGAATTGTATTGTTTTTGGCAAAGCTTTTTTTCTTCATTCCACCAGTGACAGCTTATCGTTTCATTAATGGTTTAATTTGACAATGATTCTTCTTCTTATTATTTTCTTGGTTGAAAAGTCCATATATAGCTAAGAATAATCATTCCTATTTTAACTTGTGTGTTAACATCTATCGTAGAGGTACACCCACTTTCCCACATATTAGTCAGGTGAATTTGAACTGCAGCAATCTAGCTCAAAAATATAATTATGTAAAGAATTCTAATAGAGCAGATGCGGTTACAAATCTACAATAGATAAACATACACATTGTCATAATTGTCACAGGGACATTTATTGGTAACTTTAGTTATTGGAGTGTACTGCGGCATTTTGTAATAATGACACGTTTTGTTATAAAAGGGTAACAGTGTTTTGTAATAGGGGTAGCAGCGTTTTATAATAACTGACGCGTTTTGTAATAAGGGTAGCAGCGTTTTGTAATAAAATCACTGACGCATTTTGTAATAAGGGAAGCAGCGTTTGTAATAATATTCATGTAATAAAATTATCTTATGATATCAGTACGTTTTACTATATGTATGAGTTTAGAAAAATGTTACTTGAAATAAGTAATTATATAATTTAAATACGGCAACTCGGATGATTGTAAAACTGCACTTATTATTACTTTATGAAACAAGTTTGAAAAAGCAGTACCATCATATCTCCAGTGCTTGCGCCAGTGGTGGAATGGTACTAAAACAGTAATTAAGACCAGTCCCCAAATTATTCACATTATTATTGTGTTTATATCTGTCATTGACAATTACGCTACAGATACGGCTATGTCTCTCTCCTGAGGCTAGTGTGGCGAGGTGGGGTGTCTGTCCCGTAAGTCACTCCTTCCGTTCGTGGCATTATCTCGGAAATTCTTCAACTGAATTATTTTAGCACGAGCACAAGCTTGTATATCGAGAGCGTATGTGCAAAAATCGATGTAGTATACCATGCCAGTGGATGTTTTATTGCTATTATATTATACCGACCTCGGTTTTTTTCCTGCATACTTAAATGAGTCATTGAACTAGTATATCCTAAGTATAGATACATTGAGCGAACGCGTTATTGCGTGCCCGTTTTTTGCCTTGTCGTCCTAGTCAACATACTTTCGAAAAAAATACAAACGTCCATTAGTACCGAACACCCTACTGAATCGTACAGCACGAGTATAACTTTAAGATCTTGAGCGAATCTCTTGATCAAACGCCACAGACGGCAACACATTTGTTGAGGCCGTTAATCCGTGATTTTGCTCTACGTTCGTAGTTATTATCACTTGCAATTAATGTAAATATATCTTCAACTTACTGCTCTTTGCAATTACTACTTACTAATGACTCAATCACGTATAATGAGTGCCTATAGGAAATCGGTGAATAATGCCATGTTGTAATACTACTACCGTTAACGTTCCTATAATTGCTTAACGCGTGTAAAGGACATTATTATCTGTATATATATATTGACATTGCAACTCAAGTAAGATAGTAAGATGTAGGAATTTGGCGATTATATATAGCACAACGTTCTTCACAAAGTTGTGTCTGCTAATATACGCATATATTGAAAACAAAATATACTTCCAAAGCAGAACAACGTTGTAAATATATTTAGATATAATCTCCTATTTATTTGATGTCAGCAGAAACGTGTGATTACTGCCAGATTTCCGTTTGAATCCGAGCCGCATCGGGGATCGATGTGCAGTGCTGGCAATCACGAATATCGATACTCGATTGGGGTTTTGTTTCGCAGATTTGCTCTATTTCGCATAACATTTTTCATAAAATCAACCAAGTATTCCAAAAAAACGGCCTAATATTCCACAAAATCCTTCTACGAGTTTGCAAATACATAGACTTTGTATTTTTGATTTCGCACTCTTCGAACTATTTAGCAACCCAAAAGCTGTACACAAAATACTTGTTGTTTAAGACATACTTATCTAATATTGTAACTATGCATTTCAGAATGAATGCCGGTTATATTTCATCACACACTATCTGCATTGTATTGAAATGTTGCTGCTGCAGTTCAATGATTATGTGCTAAACATTTCTGCGGCCACACCCACTCTATCTTCAAGCTCATTTAAATCAGTTGTGTCATGAGCTTCATGCTAATGATATCACGGTAAACCAAGTGTCATCATTATTGTATATAATATAAATAACTTGAAGGCCATGAGTTAGACGGGATTGCGTGCCAGACCGATCGATTTAAATATATTGGTGATGACTATACATATTCCCAAGAACAGTTATGTCAAAACTTATAATATTATGATGCTTTGTGTGATTGGAATTCCAAGTGTGTATAGTACGGTTAAACAACTGTAATGTTTTTATTTGTGCGACGGTTCTTAAAATTATTGAACATCAGTCAAGGGTCCTTAAAATCCAAAATTGTCAAGACCCTCCCTAAAAGTTTCTTAATGAAACCAACTTTGTGAAGCCCATTATTTCATTATAATACATTGAAATGATGAAAATTAGCAAATCCTATCAAAGCGAAAAACATCCAGGTAAAAGATCAGAATTGAACACATAACAGTATATCGGCGCCTTGGATCACCGCATTCCAAATTCAATCGAATAAACGTGCACTTTGGAACCGACTGCTGAACCAAAACAAATCAAACTTGTCAAAACAAATCAAACTTGTTCAACAAAAACCACAAAACAAATTTG